GCGCTTCTTCGATCAGACGGTCACCGACCTCCCCTTCTTCCTCACTCTCGAGCCGACTGAGCGTTTCCCGGCGTCTCGTCGCCACCGCTCCTCTGCACATTTCGATGTGATAGAGACGGGGTACGACTTCATTTTCGGCACTCCGTGGTCTCGTCGGTTCCGCAGCACCGAGGCCGATTGGGGGACTAACACTCTCGTTCTGAAAACGAAGTGTGGACAGACGTATCGCGTACCTTTCATAGGTACCACGGCGACACCACACCCCGATCCTCCTCCCCTGGAGCCTTCAGTGCCCACACCATCTCCCTCTATCACTGTCACCTYGCCTCGGCAGTTCGCTCACTTCATTCGACAGGACGACGTCACCTTCTTTATAGTGGACGTGACGGATCTCTTACACTATGATCCACCCTGTCCCGACGCCGAGCTCACCCCTCTGGAGCCAGATCCTCCCTCTATCTCCATGGCTCCCATCTCTACCTCCGTCCCTCCGCCGTCCGTCGAGTCCACCCCGCCGTCGTGTGTGACGCTGACGCTGAGGAACTCGCACGATATACGGCTGACTTGGAGCCCGCAGTTCGTGACCTCATCCGAGAGTACCACGACGTTTTCCCATCGTCGTTCTCGTACGCCGGCATCCCACCGATGCGTGACGTCGAGCACTCCATTCAGCTCGTGCCTGACTATCGTGTTCACCACCAGGCACCCTACAGACTCTCGATTCCCGAGGCCACCGAACTCAAGCGTCAGCTTGAGGAGCTCCTGAGACAGGGTTTCATTAAACCCAGCAACTCCCCGTGGGGTGCACCCGTCCTCTTTGCTCGCAAAGCGGATGGAACTCTTCGTCTCTGCATCGATTACCGCAGCCTTAACCGCTACACGGTTAAGAACAGCTACCCCATGCCTCGTTCCGATGAGCTGTTTGACCGTCTAGCAGGCAACCGCTTCTTTACGAAGATTGATCTTCGTAGCGGTTACCATCAGATCCGCGTCGCTGCAGCCGACTAGCCGAAGACCACGTTCCGATCGCGATTCGGCCACTACGAGTTCACGGTGATGCCATTCGGCCTCACCAACGCACCCGCTACCTTCCAGAGGGCGATGAACGACATCTTCAGGGACATCTTAGAGCAGTACGTTCTCGTCTACCTCGACGATATCCTGGTCTATAGTCGTACCCTTCAGGAGCACCTCAGACACCTCCGCGACGTCCTTGATCGCTTGCGCAGATATGGCTTCTACGCCAAGCTAAGCAAGTGCCGCTTCGCCCAGCACAAAGTGGATTTCTTAGGACACTACGTATCCGACCAGGGTCTCCACATGGACGACGCGAAGATCACTGCTATTGCGGAGTGGCCCGCTCCCACATCCGCCAAGCAGCTTCGCAGCTTCCTAGGCCTGACCAGCTACTATAGTAACTTCATCCGGGGATACGCTAGGTATTCCAACGTCCTTACCTCCACCCTCCTACGGAAGAACCCACCCTGGGCTTGGACACCCCTCCACGAGGACGCCTTCCGAGCCCTCAAGAAGGCGGTGACAT